GGTTGAATCATTTGCAGACGATTATATACTGCAGGTAAATGTTTAAATGGTGATAACAGAGTTTAGATACTGTATTAATCTAGAAAATGTATTAAATAATACTTCGGCCTCAACTACTTCAAAAGTCATCATACTATCTCTATCTTAGTTTAGCTAAGAACTTGATATTGCTGGAAAAAATCCACATGCAGCTGACGGAAGATTAGACACAGCTCGCAGGAGACTACACTCTTGGCAGATCATTAGATAGTGATGGCAGAACATAAGATATTGCTGACAGAACCCTAGATATTGTTGGCAGAACAGTAGATACTACATGTAGAATACTAGATACTGTCCATAAAGGCTAGACACTACATGTTGAATCATTTGCAAACGATTATATACTGCAGATAAATGTTTAAATGCTGATAATAGAGTTTAATCTAGAATATGTATTAAATGATACGGCATTTTGAGGTTCGTTTTCACTCAGTATCACAATCCAGGTGAATGATGTATACTGAGTACGATATTGGGGAAATATACAAAATTTTTGTCAAACTAGTGAGTTAGTCGCCAGTTACTGTCAATGAGGGACTAGATAAGACGAATAATAGGCTAGACAATAGATAGAAAATTGTATATTGCTGGCAGAAGATTATCAATCATTATGTTTAATGACATTCAAGTATGAATTTTTATTAAATACACTATTGGAAATAATTCACGAGCACACCCTGTATAATCTGAACGCGTGTGTGTAGCGCAATAAAATTTGGTATGGAAGTAGTACTAAAGTAGTGTAACTTACTCTCACATGGAGAGCGGCACAACTCTGCTGGGAGGAGAAACATCAATAGCGAGAGTATCCCCCGTGAGCTTCGCGTACCATCGCTACACGACGTGGCATGGACTCTATAAGTCGCTGTATTGTAGCGAGAGGGATGGCCAACCATGCCACCTTAACTCGCCTCCATAGCTCCTCAACGTTAGCCAAGGAAGCCGGATAACGTAGAAGTCTCCGACCAGTCATTTCCCAAACATGTTTGATCGGATTCAGATGCGGAAACCGAGCTAGCCATGGAAGCATTCGTATACGGTGCTCTTCCACAAGGGTCTGTATAACACGCCCGATATGCTGTCGTACGTTGTCGTGCATGTATAGCAGACCTGGGGGCCGCCGAACGTAGGGAAGCACAACAGACCGTAGCACCACATCTACGTATCGTCGACCCGTCATGGTCTGCTATACACGCAGCAGACGTGTACGTCCACCATATGTAATCGCACCCCATACCATAATGCTCGGTTGTCGGTGGATAGGGCGTTCTTGCACACACTGCTCGAGTAGACGATCACCACGGCTCCGACGAACTAAAATTCGCGCATCACCGGTACTCAATTCGAATCTTGATTCGTCGGACAACAAAATGTCCCTCTACTCGACAACCTACTAATGCCTAGCGTCGACCCACTCGTGACGTATGCTGCGGTGCTCGGGTGTTACTGGAATCCGCTGTATCGCACGACGCGCGCGCAGTCCACTATCTACCAAACGCCGCCGTACAGTTCGTGTAGTGAGTGCGCCTTCCCCTGCCGGTGGCCAAACAGCTTCAAGTTGACTTGAGGAGGACACACACGACGCTAAAGCACTGAGCACAAGAGCGCGATCCTCGTGTGCTGGGGATGCGCAGGGCCGTCCCGGCCGCGGCTGGAGGTACCTATGTCCTACCTCAGACCATTCTCGCCATGCCCGTTGCACTGCCGATAACGACCGCTCCAGACGATGCGCAATTTCACAGAACGATACACCCTCAATGTGCATACCCACAAACATTCCTCCCTCAAACTCGCTTAAGTAACGCGATCGCCCATCCATTGCGCACAGAGTACGATAACAATGTGGTCCCTCACAATATACTAAAAACGACCTGTATTTTCCATCCATTTCGGTCTCCATAGCGACGGAATGTTCCACTTGGAAGGGCGGCTCATTCAACAATGCCGCGACGGAACAACTCGAAACTCCCTGAATAAACTCGTCTACAGTAAACCATTGTGCTCCGCAAATATTATGGATCTATCTTCACGCGTTCAGATTATATAGGGTGTGCTCGTGAATTATGTCCAACAGTGTAGCAATGAGCAGTGATGTGGTCTACTATGAAAGATATTAGGGTTGTTGGCAAAAAAATACATCTAATTTCCAGTTAATACAACTTAATGTTTAATGCCTGTCTAATGTAACTTCATGTTTCGCCTTTGAATGNCTTCAAAAGTCATCATACTATCTCTATCTTAGTTTAGCTAAGAACTTGATATTGCTGGAAAAAATCCACATGCAGCTGACAGAAGATTAGACACAGCTCGCAGGAGACTACACTCCTGGCAGATCACTAGATGGTGACGGCAAAACATAAGATATTGCTGACAGAACCCTAGATATTGTTGGCAGAACAGTAGATACTACATGTAGAATACCAGATACTGTCCATAAAGGCTAGATACTACTTGTTGTATCATTTGCAGACGATTATATACTGCAGGTAAATGTTTAAATGGTGATAACAGAGTTTAGATACTGTATTAATCTAGAAAATATATTAAATAATACTTCGGCCTCAACTACTTCAAAAGTCATCATACGATCTCTATCTTAGTTTAGCTAAGAACTTGATATTGCTGGAAAAATCCACATGCAGCTGACAGAAGATTAGACACAGCTCGCAGGAGACTACAGTCCTGGCAGATCACTAGATAATGACGGCAGAACATAAGATATTGCTGACAGAACCCTAGATATTGTTGGCAGAACAGTAGATACTTCATGCAGAATACCAGATACTGCCCATAAAGGCTAGATACTACTTGTTGAATCATTTGCAAACGATTATATACTGCAGATAAATGTTTAAATGCTGATAATAGAGTTTAATCTAGAAAATGTATTAAATGATACTGCATTTTGAGGTTCGTTTTCACTCTGTATGACAATCCCGGTGAGTGATGTCAGTATACATACTGTACGATATTGGGGAAATATACAAATTTTTAGTCAAACCAGTTACTGTCAATGAGGGACTAGATAAGACGAATAATAGGCTAGACAATAGATAGAAAATTGTATATTGCTGGCAGAAGATTATCAATCATTATGTTTAATGACATTCAAGTATGAATTTTTATTAAATGGCAATGAGCAGTGATGTGGTCTACTATGAAAGATATTAGGGTTGTTGGCAAAAAAATACATCTAATTTCCGGTTAATACAACTTAATGTTTAATGCCTGTCTCATGTAACTTCATGTTTCGCCTTTGAATGCAGATCTTGGAATTTTCTTTTAGAATTTAGTAAGGTCGTTGAGTAATTTATTAATTGCAACTGTGATTTGGAATTTGTCAGACGATGAAACGACTAAGGTATTATGATTGTCTTGACTATGGAGTGTCTTAGTTTTCATGACAGAGATTGAAAATGAATTTATCTTTGTCAAGTCGAGCTTGGAGTCAAAGATATCTTGGAAAATTAAAGAAGCCTTAAGTACTAAAATCGGTTTAATCTGGTTTAAGTACCAGGCGAGCAATTTGCAACTGAGTATACAAAAATGATCTGGTTGCACACAAGATGACTTTGAAGGTGGGTATGCAGAGATAGTTTTACTGGAGGAGGTTGAATGCTAGGCTTAGGTACTCTGCTGATGGTAACTAAAAATTTTGCGTATCACAAAATGAAAGGTTGATGATAAACTTTTCTGTAAGACTTTTTTAATGTACAGTGTGTCATCATACTGTGATATTGGTTGCATACTTGCAAAGATGAACCAATACTGTGATATAGGTTGCATACTTGCAATGATGACGTCATCGGGTACGATAATTAATGAACACACTGTATGTTGGCAAATTCCGTCTTTGTTAGGAGCGCGATGGAAGGATGATGTTTTTTTAAAATAGATTTTTTATTAAAACTTTTATAAGATTAAATCTCAGGAAAAACTATGGACGTATTCTTTTTATGTTGAACAGCTTGCTATAGCAATAAAATTAAATTGAAATCTTTTCGTTTTACGACCAATAACAACAATATAATACCGATCCTCCCGATATACAATTTAATATCGTTCAAAAAGTTTAATATCCCTAGATCGCCAGCTTGTTTTTATGAAAATCATACATCAAACCATGTGTTCCATCCAAAAATAATCTCAAATAAAATATAATAAAACCATGTAAAATTAATGAGATAGTTATAGAGTAACTGGATTGAAACGAGAAAGATGGAATTAACCCCAGGGTTATTTTCCATTTTAAAGGGAAACGCAAATTAGCATTACACCCGAGTAGAAATTGGTTATTATTCCACCGTTGGTTGAATGATAATTATTTATGCTCCCTATTCACTCATCCAACAATATGTATTCATGTCGCGTACCTACATCATTAATTGAAATTTTCTCAATATTATCCATTAATAAATAAAAATAATTTTGTGTGTTTTAGATAGTCGCTGGAATCTCAGTTTTCTTCATTTGCGCCTCAGTGTTATCGTTTTGCTTGAAAACCCATCCAGGGATGAGACGAAACGCAACCGATTGCAACACGACTTCAATTAACGATGAAGATTACGAATACGATTGTTCGACGGCTTTACCAATATTTTATTACGTCGAACATATTTGTAACGCTTGGTTTATATTCGAATTACTGATAAGATTCGTGGTAATAATTAATACTCCTTCTGTCCCAAATTATGGTGTACATTTCTCTAAAATTTATGGATTAAGGAAAGATTGGAGAATTAACGAGTTTCTATCTGTTTAATATAATGTAATGTAATTTTAATTTAATTAATGAAAGAAACTAGAGTTGTATTTGTCGGAGGTTAAATCAAATCGATATTTTGAGGATATGTACGGCTCAACAAAAGGTGATAAGTAGAAAATTAAAGGTGATAGAGAAAAACGTTTCCCATAAAAATTAATGATAATGAATCAAGATAACATAATCCATAGACAATGCCACCATAGATATCACCATTTCTTAGATTCACGCCAGGAATTCTCAAAATATCAAAATTGACAATCATCTGCGTTAAATTCTGTTATAAGTAGAAAATTAAAGGTGATAGAGAAAAACGTTTCCCATAAAAATTAATGATAATGAATCAAGATAACATAATCCATAGACAATGCCACCATAGATATCACCATTTCTTTGGTTCAAGGTAGGAATTCTCAAAATATCAAAATTGACAATCATTGCGTTTAATTCTGTTATAAGTAGAAAATTGAAGGTGATAGAGAAAAACGTTTCCCATAAAAATTAATGATAATGAATCAAGATAACATAATCCATAGTCAATATCACCATGGATATCACCATTTCTTTTTTCTCAAGCTAGGAATTCTCAAAATATCAAAATTGACAATCATTGCGTTAAATTCTGTTATAAGTAGAAACAAAACTAAATGTGATAGAGAAAAACGTTTCCCATAAAAATTAATGATAATGAATCAAGATAACATAATCCATAGTCAATGCCACCATAGATATCACCACTTCTTAGATTCAAGCCAGGAATTCTCAAAATATCAAAATTGACAATCATTGTATTAAATTCTGTTATAAGTAGACAATTAAAGGTGATAGAGAAAAACGTTTCCCATAAAAATTAAGGATAATGAATCAAGATAACATAATCCATAATCAATACCACCATAGATATCACCATTTCTTAGGTTCAAGCCAGGAATTCTCAAAATATCAAAATTGACAATCATTGTGTTAAATTCTGTTATAACTAGAAAACTAAAAGTGATGGAGAAAAACGTTTCCATAAAAATTAATGATAATGAATCAAGATAACATAATCCATAGCCAATACCACCATAGATATCACCATTTCTTAGATTCAAGCCAGGAATTCTCAAAATATATAAATTGACAATCATTTGCGTTAAATTCTGTTATAAGTAGAAAATTAAAGGTGATAGAGAAAAACGTTTCCCATAAAAATTAATGATTATGAATCAAGATAACATAATTCATAATCAATACCACCATAGATATCACCATTTCTTAGATTCACGCCAGGAATTCTCAAAATATCAAAATTGACAATCATTGCGTTAAATTCTGTTATAAGTAGAAAATTAAAGGTGATAGAGAAAAACGTTTCCCATAAAAATTAATGATTATGAATCAAGATAACATAATTCATAATCAATACCACCATAGATATCACCATTTCTTAGATTCACGCCAGGAATTCTCAAAATATCAAAATTGACAATCATTGCGTTAAATTCTGTTATAAGTAGAAAATTAAAGGTGATAGAGAAAAATATTTCCCATAAAAATTATTGATAATGAATCAAGATAACATTATCCATAGTCAATACCACCATAGATATCACCATTTCTTAGATTCAAGCCAAGAATTCTCAAAATATCAAAATTGACAATCATTTGCGTTAAATTCTGTTATAAGTAGAAAATTAAAGGTGATAGAGAAAAACGTTTCGCATAAAAATTAATGATTATGAATCAAGATAACATAATTCATAATCAATACCACCATAGATATCACCATTTCTTAAGTTCAAGCCAGAAATTCTTAAAATATCAAAATTGACAATCATTGCGTTAAATTCTGTTATAAGTAGAAAATTAAAGGTGATAGAGAAAAACGTTTCGCATAAAAACTTATGATAATGAATCAAGATAACATAATCCATAGACAATTCCACCATAGATATCACCATTTCTTAGATTCAAGCCAGGAATTCCCAAAATATCAAAATTAACAATCATCTGCGATAAATTCTCTTATAAGTAGAAAATTAAAGGTGATAGAGAAAAACGTTTCCCATAAAAATTAATGATTATGAATCAAGATAACATAATTCATAATCAATACCACCATAGATATCACCATTTCTTAAGTTCAAGCCAGAAATTCTCAAAATATCAAAATTGACAATTATTGCGTTAAAGTCTGTTATAAGTAGAAAATTAAAGGTGATAGAGAAAAACGTTTCGCATAAAAATTAATGATAATGAATCAAGATAACATAATTCATAACCAATGCTATCATAGATATCACCATTTTTTAGGTTCAAGCTAGGAATTCTCAAAATATCAAAATTGGCAATCATTGCGTTAAATTCTGTTATAAGTAGAAAATTAAAGGTGATAGAGAAAAACGTTTCCCATAAAAATTAATGATTATGAATCAAGATAACATAATCCATAATCAATACCACTATAGATATCACCATTTCTTAGATTCAAGCTAGGAATTCTCAAAATATCAAAATTGACAATCATTTGCGTTAAATTCTGTTATAAGTAGAAAATTATAGGTGATAGAGAAAAACGTTTCTCATAAAAATTAATGATAATGAATCAAGATAACATAATCCATAGGCAATGCCACCACAGATATCACCATTTCTTAGATTCAAGCCAGGAATTATCAAAATTGACAATCTTCTGCGATAAATTCTGTTATAAGTAGAAAATTAAAGGTGATAGAGAAAAACGTTTCCCATAAAAATTAGTGATAATGAATCAAGATAACATAATCCATAGTCAATGCCACCATAGATATCAACGTTTCTTAGATTCAAGCCAGGAATTCTCAAAATATCAAAATTGACAATCATCTGCGTCAAATTCTGTTATAAGTAGAAAATTAAAGGTGATAGAGAAAAACGTTTCCCATAAAAATTAATGATAATGAATCAAGATAACATAATCCATAGTCAATGCCACCATAGATATCACCATTTCTTAGGTTCAAGCCAGGAATTCTCAAAATATCAAAATTGACAATCATCTGCGTTAAATTCTGTTATAAGTAGAAAATTAAAGGTGATAGAGAAAAACGTTTCCCATAAAAATTAATGATAATGAATCAAGATAACATAATCCATAGTCAATGCCACCATAGATATCACCATTTCTTAGGTTCAAGCCAGGAATTCTCAAAATATCAAAATTGACAATCATCTGCGTTAAATTCTGTTATAAGTAGAAAATTAAAGGTGATAGAGAAAAACGTTTCCCATAAAAATTAATGATAATGAATCAAGATAACATAATCCATAGTCAATGCCACCATAGATATCACCATTTCTTAGGTTCAAGCCAGGAATTCTCAAAATATCAAAATTGACAATCATCTGCGTTAAATTCTGTTATAAGTAGAAAATTAAAGGTGATAGAGAAAAACGTTTCCCATAAAAATTAATGATAATGAATCAAGATAACATAATCCATAGTCAATGCCACCATAGATATCACCATTTCTTAGGTTCAAGCCAGGAATTCTCAAAATATCAAAATTGACAATCATCTGCGTTAAATTCTGTTATAAGTAGAAAATTAAAGGTGATAGAGAAAAACGTTTCCCATAAAAATTAATGATAATGAATCAAGATAACATAATCCATAGTCAATGCCACCATAGATATCACCATTTCTTAGGTTCAAGCCAGGAATTCTCAAAATATCAAAATTGACAATCATCTGCGTTAAATTCTGTTATAAGTAGAAAATTAAAGGTGATAGAGAAAAACGTTTCCCATAAAAATTAATGATAATGAATCAAGATAACATAATCCATAGTCAATGCCACCATAGATATCACCATTTCTTAGGTTCAAGCCAGGAATTCTCAAAATATCAAAATTGACAATCATCTGCGTTAAATTCTGTTATAAGTAGAAAATTAAAGGTGATAGAGAAAAACGTTTCCCATAAAAATTAATGATAATGAATCAAGATAACATAATCCATAGTCAATGCCACCATAGATATCACCATTTCTTAGGTTCAAGCCAGGAATTCTCAAAATATCAAAATTGACAATCATCTGCGTTAAATTCTGTTATAAGTAGAAAATTAAAGGTGATAGAGAAAAACGTTTCCCATAAAAATTAATGATAATGAATCAAGATAACATAATCCATAGTCAATGCCACCATAGATATCACCATTTCTTAGGTTCAAGCCAGGAATTCTCAAAATATCAAAATTGACAATCATCTGCGTTAAATTCTGTTATAAGTAGAAAATTAAAGGTGATAGAGAAAAACGTTTCCCATAAAAATTAATGATAATGAATCAAGATAACATAATCCATAGTCAATGCCACCATAGATATCACCATTTCTTAGGTTCAAGCCAGGAATTCTCAAAATATCAAAATTGACAATCATTGCGTTAAATTCTGTTATAAGTAGAAAATTAAAGGTGATAAAGAAAAACGTTTCCCATAAAAATCATTGATAATGAATCAAGATAACGTAATCCATAGGCAATGGCACCATAGATATCACCATTTCTTAGGTTCAAGCTAGGAATTCTCAAAATATCAAAATTGACAATCATTGCGTTAAATTCTGTTATGAGTAGAAAATTAAAGATTGTAGAGAAAAACGTTTCCCATAAAAATTATTGATAATGAATCAAGATAACATTATCCATAGTCAATACCACCATAGATATCACCATTTCTTAGATTCAAGCCAGGAATTCTCAAAATATTAAAATTGATAATCATTTGCGTTAAATTCTGTAATAAGTAGAAAACTAAAGGTGATGGAGAAAAACGTTTCCCATAAAAATTAATGATAACGAATCAAGATAACATAATCCATAGTCAATGCCACCCTAGATATCACCATTTCTTAGGTTCAAGCCAGGAATTCTCAAAATATCAAAATTGACAATCATCTGCGATAAATTCTGTTATAGGTAGAAAATTAAAGGTGATGGAGAAAAACGTTTCCCATAAAAATTAATGATAATGAATCAAGATAACATAATCCATAGTCAATACCACCATAAATATCACCATTTCTTAGATTCAAGCCAGGAATTCTCAAAATATTAAAATTGATAATCATTTGCGTTAAATTCTGTAATAAGTAGAAAATTAAAGGTGATAGAGAAAAACGTTTCCCATAAAAATTAATAATAATGAATCAAGATAACATAATCCATAGGCAATGCCACCATAGATATCACCATTTCTTAGATTCAAGCCAGGAATTCTCAAAATATCAAAATTTACAATCATTGCGTTAAATTCTGTTATAAGTAGAAAATTAAAAGTGATAGAGAAAAACGTTTCTCATAAAAATTAATGATAATGAATCAAGATAACATAATCCATAGTCAATGTCACCATAGATATCACCATTTCTTAGGTTCAAGCCAGGAATTCTCAAAATATCAAAATTGACAATCATCTGCGTTAAATTCTGTTATAAGTAGAAAATTAAAGGTGATAGAGAAAAACGTTTCCCATAAAAATTAATGATAATGAATCAAGATAACATAATCCATAGTCAATGCCACCATAGATATCACCATTTCTTAGGTTCAAGCCAGGAATTCTCAAAATATCAAAATTGACAATCATTGCGTTAAATTCTGTTATAAGTAGAAAATTAAAGGTGATAGAGAAAAACGTTTCGAACGAAAGTTGTAGCAAATTGTATTCTTAACAAAATTGCTCTCTTGCACTTTTGCTCTCAGACGCATAGATATCGAGAAAGATATGAAAATTCATAAATAAAGAAATGCTTCGCCATGAAGGGCGTTTACATTGAACCAGCTGAATTGTGTTTAAATGCGTAAAATTTTCATTAATGTATGTTTAAATTAAGTTACAAATTGAATTACTAATTTTAGAAATACAATAAAGCAGTTTCCAAACTTTTGTATATCATAATTTGGAACAGAGGGATTAACTAAAGATTAAAAAAAACAGGAATTTTTAATTGTTTTAAATCAATTTTAGATTTCACCGCAATTAATGCTCTTTTTAAAATCGCCCGTTAATATAATCGATATTGTAGCAACTTTAAGTTTTTACATCGATATCACGTTAATCAAAGATCGCAAATCGAACGTTTTGGAGTTTTTTAGTATCATTAGAATTTTGAGATTGTTTAAATTAACGAGGCATTCGCCGGGATTAAAAATTTTGGTTCACACTTTTAAAGCGTCGGCGAAAGAGTTGGGCCTTTTGGTGTTTTTTCTCGTTTTGGGGATTGTTATTTTCGCAAGTTTGGTTTATTACGCTGAGAAATTACAGGTTAATATCTAATTAATTGATTTAATCTTTAAAAATAATATTTTTTTTTGTAGTATAACCCAAATAATAGCTTTAAAAGTATCCCGGAAGGTTTATGGTGGGCCATCGTAACAATGACGACTGTTGGATATGGCGATATGGCCCCAAAAACTTATATAGGAATGTTGGTGGGCGCTTTATGCGCAATTGCTGGTGTTTTAACAATCGCTTTGCCAGTTCCGGTTATTGTATCAAATTTTTCAATGTTTTATTCTCATACTCAGGTAAAAAATTGATTCAAACCAAACCTTATACAGTGTGTATGCAACCAATACCACAGTATAATGTAATATTATATTATACTGTGATATTGGTTGCATACTTGCAATGATGACGTCGGGTACGATAATTAATTGGACCGCGTTATACATCACTTGACTAATTGTAAGCGACATTTTATCATTTTTAGAGATTTTTATGCCGTCTGGTAGGTAAAGGTGTAACTTATCTTAGAAAAAATGCAGAAATCTAAAATATTATTTGTTTTAAAGGATAAAAATAAGCGCCAATCAATTTCAAGTCCGATTTGCATCATACGTCTAAGAACCGACATAGATACGACACTTAGATACACCAAGAAATTCTAAGTTTTCTAAATGTTGGTATAAAATTAAAAGTTTATGTGTTTTATTTTATATAAAATTTAAGTCTAACTAGTTTCGGCCATTGGCCATCTTTAGAGACTCTACAAATAGATTAACATTTCTCATCTTATCCATTTTACAAACGACAGCGGTAGGTAGCGGTTGACAGCGAAAACACTGTCAAATTTGCAAATATAAAATGACATATTTTCAAAAAATAGTATCATCTCTATTTTTAATGGTAATGATATGATGTATATGTTAAATTGAAGCTTGATGATCCTAGTTTATGATATGATATAAAAATTGTATGATAATATTAATAAAATTTCTTGAAAAAGGGTATTAAAGAAAACACTGTCAAATTTGCAAAATAAAATGACGTCATATTTTCAAAAAATTATATCATCTCTATTTTTAATGGTAATGATATGATGTATATGTTAAATTAATGCTTGGAGATTCTAGTTTATGATATCATATAAAAACTATATGATAATATGAATAAAATTTCCTGAAAAAAGGTACTAAAGAAAATACTCACATTTGCGAAATAAAATGACGTCATATTTTCAAAAAATCATATCATCTCTATTTTGAATGGTAATGATATGATGTATATGTTAAAATAAAGCTTGGAGATTCTAGTTCATGATATGATATAAAAAACTATATGATAATATTAAAAAAATTTCCTGACAAAAGGTATTAAAGAAAACACTGTCAAATTTGCAAAATAAAATGACATCATATTTTCAAAAAATCGTATCATCTCTATTTTTAATGGTCATGATATGATGTATATGTTAAACTAATGCTAGGAGATTCTAGTTTATGATATATAAAAACTATATGATAATATTAATAAAATTTCCTGACAAAAGGTATTAAAGAAAACACTGTCAAATTTGCAAAATAAAATAACATCATATTTAAAAAAAATCATATCATCCCTATGTTTAATGGTAATGACATGCTATATATTAAATCGAAGCTTGGAGATCCTAGTTTATGATATGATATAAAAACTATATGATAATATAAATAAAATTTCCTGAAAAAAGGTATTAAAGAAAACGTTGTCAAATTTGCAAATATAAAATGACATAATATTTTCAAAAAATCATATCATCTCTATTTTTGGTGATAATGATATGATGTATATGTTACATTGAAGCTTGGGGATTCTAGTTCATAATATGATATAAAAAACTATATGATAATATTAATAAAATTTCCTGAAAGAAGGTATTAAAAAAACATTGTCAAATTTGCAAATATAAAATGAGATCATATTTTCAAAAAATCGTATCATCTCTATGTTTAATGGTAATGATATGATGTATATGTTAAATTGAAGCTTGGAGATTCTAGTTCATGATACGGTATAAAAAACTGTATGATAATGTTAATAACATTTCCTGAAAAAGGTATTAAAGAAAGCACTGTCAAACTTGTAAATATAAAATGACCTAATATTTTCAAAAAATCATATCATCTCTATTTTTGGTGGTAATGATATGATGTATATGTTAAATTAAAGCTTGGAGATTCTAGTTTACAATATGATATAAAAACTGTATGATAATATTAATAAAATTTCCTGAAAAAAGGTATTAAAGAAAACACTGTCAAATTTACAAATATAATATGATATCATATTTTCAAAAAAATCGCATCATCTCTATATTTAATGGTAATGATATGCTGTATATGTTAAATTGAAGCTTGAAGATCCTAGTTTATAATGTCATATAAAAACTGTATGATAATATTAATAAAATTTCCTGAAAAAAGGTATTAAAGAAAACACTGTCAAACTTGTAAATATAAAATGACATCATATTTTCAAAAAATCGTATCATCTTTATTTTTGATAGTAATGATATGATGTATATGTTAAATTGAAGCTTGAAGATCCTAGTTTATGATATCATATAAAAACTGTATGATAATATTAATAAAATTTCCTGAAAAAAGGTATTAAGAAAAACACTGTCAAATTTGCAAATATAAAATGACAATATATTCAAAAAATCATATCTCGATTTTTAATGGTAATGATATGATGTATATGTTAAATTAATGCTTGGAGATTCTAGTTTATGATATGATATAAAAACTGTATGATAATATTAATAAAATTTCCTGAGAAAAGGTATTAAAGAAAACACTGTCAAACTTGCAAATATAAAATCACATGATATTTTCAAAAAATTATATCATCTCTATTTTTGGTGGTAATGATATGATGTATATGTTAAATTGAAGCTTGGAGATTCTAGTTCATGATATGATATCAAAAACTGTAAGATAATATTAATAAAATTTCCTGAAAAAAGGTATTAAAGAAAACATTGTCAAATTTGCAAATATAAAATGACATAATATTTTCAAAAAAATCGTATCATCTCTATTTTTAATGGTAATTATATGATGTATATGTTAAATTGAAGCTTGAATATTTTAGTTTATGATATGATATAAAAACTATATCGTAATATTAATAAAATTTCCTGAAAAAAGGTATTAAAGAAAACACTGTCACATTTGCGAAATAAAATGACGTCACATTTTCAAAAAATCATATCATCTCTATTTTTAATTGTAATGATATGATGTATATGCTAAATTGAAGCTTGGAAATCCTAGTTTATGATATGATATAAAAACTGTATGATAATATAAGTACGAAGGCTTTCACGGCCGGTGTGAATTAAACCGGTGAATTAAAGCCGGTGTGAATTCCACTTCGAACCAGTTTCTGAAGAAGGTTGCAACATGGCATCCGAAACGTCAAACATTTTATTAAAAGACGTACGGCAAAACCCGAAAGTTTCTAGTGTTAGTTCTAGTTTTAGTTCTAATCTTAATTTAATTGTATGATAATGTTAGTAAAATTTCCTGAAAACAGGTATTAAAGAAAGCACTATCAAACTTGCAAATATAAAATGACATAATATTTTCAAAAAATCATATCATCTCTATTTTTAATGGTAGTGATATGATGTATATGCTAAATTGAAGCTTGGAGATCCTAGTTTATGATATGATATAAAAAACTGTATGATAATATTAATAAAATTTCCTGAAAAACGGTATTAAAGAAAACACTGTCACATTTGCAAAATAAAATGACGTCACATTTTCAAAAAATCATATCATCTCTATGTTTAATGGTAATGATATGCTGTATATATTAAATCGAAGCTTGGAGATCCTAGTTTATGATATGATATAAAAACTATATGATAATATTAATAAAATTTCCTGAAAAAAGGTATTAAAGAAAACATTGTCAAATTTGCAAATATAAAATGACATAATATTTTCAAAAAATCATATCATCTCTATTTTTGGTGATAATGATATGATGTATCTGTTACATTGAAGCTTGGGGATTCTAGTTCATAATATGATATAAAAAACTATATGATAATATTAATAAAATTTCCTGAAAAAAGGTATTAAAAAAACATTGTCAAATTTGCAAATATAAAATGAGATCATATTTTCAAAAAATCGTATCATCTCTATGTTTAATGGTAATGATATGATGTATATGTTAAATTGAAGCTTGAAGATCCTAGTTTATGATATCATATAAAAACTGTATGATAATATTAATAAAATTTCCTGAAAAAAGGTATTAAAGAAAACACTGTCAAATTTGCAAATATAAAATGACATCTTATTTTCAAAAAATCGTATCATCTCTATTTTTAATGGTAATGATATGATGTATATGTTAAATTAAAGCTTGAAGATTCTAGTTTATGATATGATATAAAAACTGTATGATAATATTAATAAAATTTCCTGAAAAACGGTACTAAAGAAAACACTGTCAAATTTGCAAAAACAAAATAACGTCAAATTTTCAAAAAATCATATCATCTCTATTTTTAATGGTAATGATATGATGTATATGTTAAATTAAAGCTTGAAGACTCTAGTTTATGATATGATATAAAAACTGTATGATAATATTAATAAAATTTCCTGAAAAACGGTACTAAAGAAAACACTGTCAAATTTGCAAAAACAAAATAACGTCAAATTTTCAAAAAATCATATCATCTCTATTTTTAATGGTAATGATATGATGTATATGTTAAATTAAAGCTTGAAGACTCTAGTTTATGATATGATATAAAAACTGTATGATAATATTAATAAAATTTCCTGAAAAACGGTACTAAAGAAAACACTGTCAAATTTGCAAAAACAAAATAACGTCAAATTTTCAAAAAATCATATCATCTCTATTTTTAATGGTAATGATATGATGTATATGTTAAATTAAAGCTTGAAGACTCTAGTTTATGATATGATATAAAAACTATATGATAATATTAATAAAATTTCCTGAAAAAAGGTATTAAATAAAACATTGTCAAATTTGTAAATATAAAATGACATAATATTTTCAAAAAATCATATCATCTCTATTTTTGGTGATAATGATATGATGTATATGTTAAATTGATGCTTGGAGATTCTAGTTTATGATATGATATAAAAAGCTGTATGATATTATTAATAAAATTTCTTAAAAAAGGTATTAAAGAAAACACTGTCAAATTTGCGAAATAAAATGACGTCATATTTTCAAAAAATCATATTATCTCTATATTGAATGGTAATGATATGATGTATATGTTAAACTAATGCTTGGAGATTCTAGTTTATGATATGATATAAAAACTATATGATAATATTAATAAAATTTCTTAAAAAAGGTATTAATGGAAACAGTCAAATTTGCAAATATAAAATGACATAATATTTTCAAAAAATCATATCATCTCTATTTTTGGTGGTACTGATGTGATGTATATGTTAAATTGAAGCTTGGAGATTCTAGTTTATGCTATAATATAAAAAAACTGTATGATAATATTAATAAAATTTTCTGAAAAAGGTATTAAAGAAAACACTGTCAAATTTGCAAAATAAAATGACGTCATATTTTCAAAAAATCATATCATCTCTATTTTTAATGGTAGTGATATGATGTATATGTTAAATTAATGCTTGGAGATTCTAGTTTATGATATCATATAGAAACTATATGATAATATTAATAAAATTTCCTGAAAAAAGGTATTAAAGAAAGCACTGTCAGATTTGCAAACATAAAATGACATCATATTTTTCAAAAAATCATATCATCTCTATTTTTGGTTTTAATGATATGATGTATATGTTAAATTGAAACTTGGGGATTGTAGTTCATGATATGATATAAAAAGCTGTATGATAATATTAATAAAATTTCCTGAAAAAAGTTATTAAAGAAAACACTATCAAACTTGCAAATATAAAATGACATAATATTTTCAAAAATCATATCATCTCTATTTTTGGTGTTAATAATATGATGTATATGTTAAATTGATACTTGCAGATTCTAGTTTATGATATGATATGAAAAGCTGTATGATATTATTAATAAAATTTCTTAAAAAAAGGTATTAAAGAAAACACTGTCAAATTTGCAAAATAAAACGACATCATATTTTCAAGAAATCGTATGATCTCTATTTTGAATGGTAATGATATGATGTATATGTTAAATTAAAGCTTGGTGATTTTAGTTTATGATATGATATAAAAACTATATGATAATATTAATAAAATTTCCTGAAAACAGGTATTAAAGAAAACACTGTCAAATTTGCAAAATAAAATGACGTCATATTTTCAAAAAATCATATCATCTCTATTTTGAATGGTAACGATATGATGTATATGTTAAATTAATGCTTGGAGATTCTAGTTTATGATATCATATAAAAACTATATGATAATATTAATAAGATTTCCTGAAAAAAGGTATTAAAGAAAACACTGTCACATTTGCTAGATAAAATGACGACACATCTAAAAAAAATCATATCATATCTATTTTTAATGGTAATGATATGATGTATACGTTAAATTAATGCTTGGATATTTTAGTTTATGATATGATATAAAAACTATATGATAATATTAATAAAATTTCCTGAAAAAAGGTATTAAAGAAAATGTTAAATTTAACATAAGATATCAATATGTTTTATTGAAGTGATTAGAAAGTTTCGGGTTTAGCCGTGTGTCTTCTAGATGTCTCTAATTCTAGGTCTAGTGTAAGTTCTAGTTTTACACTAGCACTATCACTAGAACTAACACAAAATCTAGAACTAGAATCATTCGGGTTTAGCTGTCTTGAGAGACGTGGGACTAAATCCGAATATTTCTAGATCTCGATCTAGTGTTAGTTCTAGTGGCAGTGATAGGTAGGGCTAGTTAGCAAAAGATATTGCTATGTTGTATATTTTTATTGAACTAATCCTAGAACGAGAACTAGCAACATTTGGGTTTAGTCGTGAAAAAAACTTTAAGTTATCAACGTCAACTTTAATTTTATTATTATATTCGTAATCTTCATAAAATAACCTTTAAAGTGAGTCCAAACTTGACGCATTTATCTCAAAAAACCAAAAAGTTCGAACTTTCACTTTTAATTTTGACATATTTGTCAAGTTCATAAAAAATCCTTTAAAATGAGTCCAAACTCGACATATTTAACTTTAATATTAAAGGAAATACAATCACTTCCGGTTTGAAACGTCAACGTCAATTTTGACATATTTGTCATCTTCATCAAAAAACCTTTAAAATGAGTCCAAAGATAATAGTTAGAATAAAAAACATTAAACCCGAAGTTAGTAATAATGAAGATAGCAATACAAACATGTCAAAATTTACGTTGACATTTTTAACCGGAAGTTGACCATAACTTCATTAATATTGAAGATAAATATGTCGTGTTTGTACTCATTTTAAAGGATTTTTAATGAAGATTACAAATATGTCAAAGTTGAAGTTGACATTTTAAACCTGAAGTTAGTTATCATATAATAAAAGTTTACAACTGTGTTTTGTAAATTAGTAACTAATAATCTGATTTCGACTTCGATATGTGAACTTTTTTAACAAAACAAAAGGAAATGTTAAGAAACTTGTTTGTAAAATTGATAAGATGAGAGATGTTAATCTATTTGTGAAGTCTCTGAAGATGGGTCGAAACTGGTTAGACTTAAATTCTATATACTTAAATAAAAACCAGTTAAAAAGTACAAAATCAGTTTTGTCTCTAGTTTTAGTGATTAAATTTATGCCACGACTTACAAAAACACCTGTAAGAGGGCATCTGTGCTTGTGATAGCTGTCATCAGTGTTTTATGATGAAAAACAATTTTCAATAGATTGAGCCTGTCTATTCTGAGCAGTCTTAGTCAAGTGATGCATAACGCGGTCCAATTAACACTGTATTTGTTTAGGCTGGATCAAAATTATACAAAAAGCGACCGGGTATGCAACCAATATCACAGTATACGCGATTTCCGTATTACACTGTGATATTGGTTGCATACTTGCAATGATAACGTCGGGTACGATAATCGATAATTAATTAACACAGTGTATTTGTTTAGGCTAGATCAAAATTACCCAAAAAGCGACGAAGAGTACTCCCAGTTGAGCAACCACGAAGGAAAAAAGTCGATACAGTCGCCCATCGAAGAGTTAACGCCATCAAACATCCATCAACGCTTTACAAAGACCCATTTGGAAATGCAAAACTAGGTTTTAATTAAAAAAATTTCAAAAATTAATTTGTTAAAAAAAAAAAATTTTTTTTAGGAAACATAAACGGAGTTAACATGATTGGTTTGGCTTTACAAGGTCCTTCAGTACCAAGCATCGCAGTTATCCACCATAACGGACCTTACTCAATCCAACCTCACCAACAACAAGAAATTTCATCAGAACCCAACAAAATGGAAATTACCAACAATGATAGAGAATCAAAATCAGAACCAAGAGAAATCTTATCGGCACGAACTCTCCTCCAAGATTTTCTCCCAACGAAACTTGACCCAGAATTGGGAAGAACTAGTGTCCCTGCTATGGCTATTGGGAGTTCGACGGAAGTTTTAGTTAGTATCATTGAAAATTCGGCGGGGTTTCGGAGAAATTCAATTTTAACAGCCGCGGTGTCAATTAATGAAGATGAAAAAAGACAGGATAAAGATGTCAAAAAAGAAGATGAGGATTTTTTGAGTCCTGTTACGGAGACGACCGAAGCTGCGTCTGAAATTGGGAAGGAAGATAGCTCGGGGACTTTGAATCGTTTTAATTATGCAGAGGGGATTGATAATTGTGATAAGGATTGAATTTGACCAAAAGAATCTTAGGATATTTTTGTAAATTGGTGAAATAAATAAATTAATTAAACAAAACTTAGAGTAGTGTTTGATAAAAGTTAAATCTCCAACGGAATAAGTCTGAAAGATGTCCCCAATTGCTTTTAAGTATGTCTAAATTGATTGTAAGTGTGTCTAAATGTACCCAATTGATTCCAAAATTTGTCTAAATGTGGCCAACTGATTTTAAGTGTGTCTAAATATGTGTCTAAATGTCACCAACTGCTTCCAAGTGTGTCCTAATGTATCCAACTGATTCCAAGAGTGTCTAAATGTCACATATCCTATTGTACAGTAAGAATTATCAGATAGTTTATTATAGAGAAAATGTATAAGCAAATAAGACGAAAAAATCTAATTTTCAGAGTTGTCTTAGAAGATTTTTACGTCGATGATGTGTTATCTGATGTAGATTCCATAACTAGATGTTAAAAAACGATAGATTTTTATTGCGAAAATTTACCTGCAAAACTTTAATTAGCACTAATCTCACTTAGTGCCCAAACTGATTGAGAAATAACTAAAATCTAATCCCTAAGGATATAATGGGTATTTAACGTAAGCAAAAATGCGCGTTCAAGAATTAAAGTTCCAAGAATTAAAAGCGTTAGAAGAAATCAACGAAGAATCATAAAGCCTGGCCTACATTCTTTGATCTATTTAGAACCATGATTCATGAAAACGAGTCTCTATCCAAAGTAGCAAAATATCAATACCTCCTGACTTCGTTGAACTTAATAAAAGACTTGCCAGTGACGGAGGATAAATACTCCATTGCTTATACCAGCTTCCAGAAGTCTTGGCTTCTTTGTGCCAAGCAAAACCAAGCAAAGGTATTGGATGCAGTACAACTAACTACATGTAAAAACACTTCCCGTAATTATAATAAAGCTTCATTATCCAACAAAATCTTCTGCCAATCTGAAAGTTGAACAATCACCATTAAATACTAAATGTCCATTGTGTTCAGAACAACCTCATCATTCTTTACTGCATCTAAAGCCACCACAACGATCTTCGGTTCCTGTTGAAGTTACCAATTGCAATTTGAATGGTGAATCTGTATCACTTCAGATTTCCCATGTGATCCTGCCAACTGCGTTGCTAACATTAAAGATCGATTTGGACTATTTCATGTCGAGCCTTGATCGACTCTGGCAACATGTCGAATTTCATCACTCATAAACTATCGAAACGTCTTCAACTCCACCACACCTTTGGAACTTCAATTGAAACCGAACTGTCTTAAACAATTTTGGATCATGGGTTCAAGATTTGTAATCCATCGTGTATTATCAAGATGCATTCGAAACCACGTTCGCACGCACCAGTCATGTCAGATCTCCCCAAGTTTCGAATCGAAGAAATTAAACCATTTTCCAAAGTTGCAGTGGATTTTGCAAGACCTGTTTTTACCACATTAAATAGAAGTCGAGGTTCTAAATCTGTCAAGTCGTATATATGTGTTTTTGTCTGTACGGCTACCAAGGCCATTCACCTTGAACTTGTTTCAGGTTTATCTCAGACCAAGGGACCAACTTTATAGGCTATAATAATCGTTTGAAAGAAATGGCAAAAATCGTAGGTGTCAAACTTGGCTTAGAATGGAAATTCAACCCACCTGGAGCACCACATTTTAATGGTTTAGCTGAATCCAATGTAAAATCAGTTAAGACTCACTTGATAAAGGTTATTAGTAGTCAAGTGCTCTCCTTTGAAGAAATGTGTCAAGTGATCCAAACGATTTACAAGCCTTAACTCCAAGTCACTTTTTACATCTTGAACCATTAAATGATGATGTTGAAGTGAAATTACAGTACTTTAACCATTTAATTCTAGCATTATTCGATGCTCATGCACCTGTAAAGACGGTGAGGCTTAGCAAAAAATCTGCCCTCTGGCTTACTCCTCTGCTTAGAGACATGATTAAGTTTAGAGATCGTCTTTACAGCAAGTACAAAAAGTCTAAAACTGAACTAGCACTTAATGAATACAAATCTTTTAGAAAACATGTTGCTTGCGCAATAAAGACCGAGCAGAAGGCGTACTATGAATCATCTTTTAAAAATAAAAGTTCTAGGGATCTCTGGAAATCACTAAGGCATCTGAATGTTATCAAATCAAAAGAGCAGGTACTTCCACAACATTTGAATGACGTTAAAGGCATTAATGATAATTTTTCGCA